ACAWCATYWTYYTYYYYTCTTCTTCYTCCTCTTCTTTTTCTTCTTCTCTCTTCYCCTTCCACCGCACATCCACTAAGRGCTTGTATGTTYGACGCAATATACCAAYTCGGCGACTCRATCTCYGACACCGGAAATCTGATCCGTGAAAATCCTAATACTACCTTCTCTCACCTTCCYTATGGTGAAACCTTYTTTCATGGTGCTACTGGYCGYTGCTCCAAYGGCTTRCTCATRCTCGATTACTTCGGTAACTTATTTCTACTTCTATCTTCTCTTTCTTTCTCTAATTTCACTTTCATTGCAATTTTTCTAATAAAGGCTTCTGTTAATGGTGATTTTGYAGCTTTAGAYGCGGGACTTCCATTGGTGAATCCTTATCTAAATAGGGACGCTTTGACAAATCACGGAGTCAATTTTGCAGTGGCTGGTTCTACAGCTTTGTCTTTCGAGGCTCTTCTCCGCAATAAAATCTTTTCTCCAGTTACCAATTCTTCTCTCGATCATCAACTTGGTTGGATGCACTCTCATTTTAACTCTATTTGTCTAAATGAGAGAGGTAATTGTTCACTAACCTTCTATTTTTATATACGTAAATACTTTCAGTTTCTTTTTCTCTTGTTATTATACATATTGATCTTTTTTTTATTTATATGCTATAGATTGCATCGAGAAGTTAAGGAGTGCTTTGTTCTTGGTGGGCGAGATTGGCGGGAATGATTATAATTATGCACTGTTCCAAGGTAAAACTATGCAAGAGGTGAAAGATATGGTACCGGATATTGTTCAAACCATAAAGAATGCAGTTGAGGTAATTTATATTTATATATTTTTTAAAAGTGATGTTGATTATCGAGATTTTCCCTACTAATCTAATCTCCTCTTTTTGCTTATGATGATGTTTGCAGAAAGTGATCAGTTATGGTGCTACTCGAGTCATCATTCCTGGAAACTTTCCAATTGGATGTTTACCTATCTATCTTACTGGATTCCAAACCAATGATACAACCGCTTATGATGAACTTCATTGCTTAAAGGGTTTGAATAGTTTGGCAAGTTATCACAACGATCGAATCAAGCAAGTCATTGAAGTACTGAGAATGGAGAATCCACATACTGTTATTGTGTATGGCGATTACTATAATGCATTGCTTTGGATTCTTCGCCATGCTTTTGTGCTCGGTATGCTATTCTACATTTTACAAAATAAAATTTAGATCTTAATTAAGATTTTGTTTATTTGGTATTGTTCTTCTATAAATTATTAATATTTTGTTTCCTATCCATATTYATATGAGCAGGATTTGATGAAGCTTCTTTGCAAAAATCATGTTGCGGGATTGGGGGCAACTACAACTTTGACCTCATGAAGATTTGCGGACTTCCTGGTGTACCAGTTTGCCCAAACCCTCATGAACATATAAGTTGGGACGGAATCCATTTAACGGAAAAAGCTTACAAATTCATGGCATATTGGATCATCAACGACATCTTCCCAAAATTGCACTGCATTTTTTAAATTTAGTTTGAGTTGTTTATTTCTATTTTTATTATTTTTTTATGTTTTAGTTTAGTTAGGTCCTTATTATTTTTTTCGATGATAATGTTTATGGTTTAGTTAGGTCCTTATTGATTCATGAGTGAAATTCAAATATTACATTTATAATACAATCCCATGTTTACTTTTTTTTTTCTTTTCTTTTTAACCGTTTCTTTCATATTTTTCATGTACTGTGGCCTAAAAAAACCGAGTTGGCAGTAAACTAAAAATCATCAACTCCAATAGAAATTTATGTTTTTCCAATTATTTGTCAATGAAATCTCAAGTAAATTTCAGAAGTCTCCGCCACATGCACATTTTGTTTATAAAAATTTCATGTACTTTAATTAATATTAAATATAATCTAAAATATAATTAAATATGCATAATTTTGTCCCCTAATAATTAACGGCAATATAATCAAAGTTTTTAATTCAATTTATGGAGTCGAAATTTTTGATACTCACTTTCTTTTCATCTCACCAAACAATATAGGTTAAATTACAAAAAATACTCGTGAATTTTGTCATTGGTTTAAAAAATACTTCTATACTTGCAAAACGTAATAGTTAATGTGGAAGCCTACATAGGTTAAGTTTGAAAAAAGAGAGAAAATGTGGAATAAATTATCGTTTYTAAGAATATTTTTAGGTTAAAATTGAAACGTTAACGGATATTTTCAAAACGTTTATGAAAAGTTGAGGGTAGTATTGAATTTTTTGAAAGAATATGATCAACCATTGGTAAAGTGAAAGTATTTTTTGTAACTAAGCCAACAACGTTAAAACAAATCTTTGTAAAATCTTTTTCAAAGCTTAGATATTTCGTTTAAAACAAATATTGGGACTAAAAATGAAAAAGAATACAATCATTTAAAAAAAAAATCCAATCAAAAAAGTTAATTCGATTAATTTATACTCGATTTTGTTTCAGTCTCTATTATYTAATTAAATTCTCCAAAATTCTTTTAAATAAATTTTAGGTTAACCTTACATTTTCACATCATACAAAGATTAAATTGTTACAAATTGGAAAGTATAGAGACTAACTTATTAAAAACTAAAGTTATAAACTAAATCATTACTTTAGTAAAAGTACAAGGACACTCGATTGGCGAATAATCCCCATTCTTTCTCATAGAAAGATGTAGAAAATCCATCCCTCGAGAAAATATCTGATGAATTTGCTGACATTCCAGCATCAATGGACATACCAAAATCAATCCTTCATCCAATTCTTGAGCAAAGACCAAGGAATGTCTCGACTCTTTCCATATCAAGATCCACCATTACATCTGAAGGTTTCATCTTTTGTTGAAAGGAGATAATGAAACCTCGAAGATAAAAGAAAAAAAAAGGCAAAAGCTCACTCATCACTTCTCTCAAAGTCGATGGACCAAAAGTAATTTTTAACCTGTTCCTGGCAGTTTTTGTAGTTTAAGAACAAAGAAGTAATTAATTTAGAACATGTACCAAACCCAGCRAAATCACTCAGGACAGAAGTAAAGATAAAAAGTAATATTGTTATTGTAATTTCCAGGTGGATGCTGAAAGTGTTGGCTAGATTACAAAAATGGTGACTCCCAAAACTATATTTGATCTTYAGAGACAGTGTTTAGTTTTGTTTTGTTTGAGAATTCTAAAACTCAGTTTGTTCCAAATACTCAGTTTCAATGGTATCCTTGAGGATGAACAGCCTTTGTATGACTACAGGCTGATTCATATTCCTTGCTTCCCTCATCTCTGTATCTTCCTGGTTCAGATGGTATGAATCAAGCATTATCTTTATCCACTTATGCAGCTCTTTTGGAGTTCTGCTCAATCACAAAAAAAAATATATATATATATATATATATATATATATATTTATATTTGAGCAATGCTAGCACAAAACAAATATTCACAAATTACGCCCTTGGAATTTCGTCATATGATCATTTTTGCCCTTGTTATTAGGTGGATGACGTGGCCTCAAATTTGTATGTTAACGTGCTGACATGGGCATGTATTGGGACTTGATAGGCTGGCTAAGATGGGTACTGGGGATGATGTGGACATGTATTGAGTGTTCGTGCCATACAATACCGAGTACTTGGGTTAGCCGGCCAATGTGGCTTCAATAGAAACCTATGTCAAAACACATTGATGTACATATTTGAAGCTACGTCATCYATTTGTTGATAACAAAACAAAAGCAAAGATCGAAATGGTAATTTTTTTAAACGTTCAGAGACCAACACAGAATAAATTTTAAAGTTCAAAAYGAAAACGAGGGGTGGTAGGTGGATTCCCCACTTTGAATTTTGGCTAATATAYGAGGTAAACTCTGCAGACTAGTGACTAATGAAACTTGTAGGAGAAATATGTAATCACAMTGAGAAAGTTTTCAATATGATGGAGATGAAGCTTACTCACGTGTACATTGCATTCGGATCTCTGGCTTCGCTTCCATCACCAGGGGCGAAGGCTGTTGCTAAAGCAGAAAATCGTTCTTCGGGATCAACGATATTTAGCAAATGCTTTAACAGCTTTATTTCTTTTGGGGCCATGCTTCTAAGACTGCTTTTGGTGGCTCTGTATAATCGATACATTATTTCCTTCACCTACATTATAGAGATAGAAGGGGACGATATAATACTTCATTTAGAAGTGTTTGAGAAGTTTTGGAATGTAGAAACATTTTCAATATATCAATCATAATGAGAAGGTACAACATCTATTTTATATGATACGATACTCGTTTGAACATGATAAAATAGTTGACACAAGCATACAACAAATGACACTGTATTTTGTTTCAACATAGACATGGTTAATGTTGAAACAACAGAGAGCTCCCCAACTCTTCCATAGATCGACTTCAAAGTTAACAACCAGGAATTAATATTTTGGACAAGTATTTTGGTCAATGCATTATTAAATTATAGTTTAGAAGCAGAATGAGCAAATTTAATTGCTATTTGATACACATTAAATTCTATATTAGTCCTTCAACTCTTGTGTTAATTATATTTTTGTCCCTCAACTTTCCAACATTCAATTTTAGTTTCTGCCTTCAGATAAAATAACTATTTTAYTATTTGTCTGTTAATATTTTAACAAATCTGACATAGGTACTTTTTCTTTGTTGYGTGCATTTTACCTAATTAATAAATGTCTATATGMAAAAGGGCTTCAATGTAATTACTAATTTTAAACGKAATTAGACTTTCGTTTAATGATTAATGAGAAATTAAARGTGAGGGCTAAAYTAATGTTTTAAGCTAAAGTCCARAGACAAAAACACAACACTTGATAGTTGAACGACTAAAGCAAACTATTTGGAAGTTYSGGTATTAAAATGATATAAATATGAACGTTTAAGGACTAAGATAAGATTTAACCTAAACATTACCTCATTCTTCATGGTTGTGGATTCTTTTGCAGAAGCCCATGCACTGTTTATCAAAAGAATCAATGATGAATCAAGTTCCTTTGCCTTTGCAAGACTTTCAATCTTCTCACAAGCCACATCCAGTGAGGGAGAATTCAGTATATCATCAAATTTGGCCTGCGCACAATCCAATGTGTCCACATATTCTAATGTTCTATCGTAAGCACTAACCGCAGACAGACATCTGGCCGCCAGCCGAGCCACCGCTGCTCAAATAGAAAAAATGATTTATGGAAGACAAAATCTTTGTTTATTTTATCTCCWAGTTAAAATGCTGTTACAACTCAGATTATTGAGAAATCATAAAGGTGAATAAGAATGAAATGTATGTTACAGTGTGAATACATGATGAAAATTGTTGAATAATCCTAAAACTAAATTTAGAGARAAATATGAAAATTTTCATTATTCAGTTCTCTGATGGAAAAATGCRTGATGGGCGGGCTTCTCCATTTAAAGAGAACAAATATATTATCCTAGCTAAACTAAAAGATTAAATTCATCTGAAGCACTTATAAAGATGGTTAAAAGATAAAAATCTAAACTAAATCTTTGGTTAAATYTAAACTCAATCAACAAGAGTCTTGGTTTAATCAAACACAGACACTCAGGCTATCAAATGTCAAAACTAAGATCAAGAACTGAAAATTTTCAAACTATTACCATCACGGTCTTCTAAACTGTCGTGTGTTTCCGAAATCAAAGTAAGGAACWTAAAGAATTCCTCTGTGAAGTCTTTGCGCCGCTTTGCAACTATTGCATTAATGTCGGTCGGGCTGTCCTGTAATTCCTTGAAGAGTTCACTGTGGATCTCCATTTCATCATCAATCTGCATATTTTCTCAGTCGTGATCAAAAAATGCAAAAAGATGAAAATTTGGATTCCTAATTTTTGACACTCTAGTCACTGGAAACAATCACCAAACAATAAGCAGTGAATATTTATAGCTTAAATTTTTCCATAAAATGAAGCAAGATATGAGGAGCCATTAAGTCTTTCATAAAGAAACATCATAGCAGGAGAGTTAAAAGAAATGGAAGGGAAGAAAAAGAGGACAAATACATACCCTTTTCACCTTTCTCCTAAGTGAAATTAACCTCTCTTTCATACTTGGATCGCTCTCCCAATCCACCCGCCTTTGGCAATGACTGTAGAAGCTCTCCCTATACTTTTTCCACTCCTCCCTAAATACCAAAAGCTTCCTCCATTCTTTAGTCTTGGGCTTCTCATTCAAGAAAATGTCAATTATTTTATCACAAAACTGAGAAATGGTATATCCCTCTGCAACTTCCATTTCTGATTGCGCTTCCATTTCAGCTGTAGCTACATCATTCGCTCCTAAACCTGAGAAGCAATTTTTTGCTCTCAACTGACAGTGAAGCCTTGGAACTCTTCCAAAACCCAAGAAGCACCACACACACACTTAATTCCTACTCTTTAATTCGATGATTGCCCGTTTCCAAAATAGTTTTCATGTGTGAGTGAAAACATCTATAAGGCTATTAAAGATACCGTTTAAATACTATTTTGGTCTCTCTACGTTCATTTTGGTCTATGAAAAACATCCACTTTGGTTAATACTTCCAATTTTTGGTCCCCATAGTTCTATAAAGTGACTTCCAATAATAATTTCAGCACGACACTAAACTCAATAAATTTATGTAGGCCATAACTTTGTAAAAGATTTCCGTTGCATAGAATTTATGTTATAATTTCAAAACAGTGACCAGAATGGCTACTTATCCAGTTGGAAGACAGAGGATTGAAATGAACCGAAAGTACATGTTAAAACTTAAAATATGATAAACGAATGTAGAATTAGGAAGCCCTAAAAATCGAGGAAGAAGAGAAGAAAACTCACTTGCAGTTGCTTTCAATTTCGTTGGGCTCGTAATTGAAATAGTTGTTGGATGGTTGGATTTGGATTTCTTGGGTGATAAAGCAGAGGAGATGAGTGGATTTCTAGGAGCTTCTGGGAGTGCTTTTGGGAAGATGGAAGTTTTGGGTGAGGAAGAGGAGAGGTGAAAGGGCAAGTAATTCGCCATGGCCATGGAACAAATTTTGAAAGAAAGCAAGGGAAAAAGCCAGATATGGTGGCCGCACTCTTCAATTATCCCATGGGTGAAAAAAAAACCAACTACATCGAACCGACCCGGTCCAATCTACGGGATTGGTTCGATTCTTTAAAAGAAATTGGACTCCTTGGTTGAGAAAATCCAAAAATTTAGAGAGAATTTGACGGAACTTTGGTTAAAATAATAATGAGTCTCTGACCAGTAACGATTTAGTTTTAATATTTTTAAATTATTGACAATTTAATCTAAGTCTTACAATTTAAAATTTGTAAACAATTTAATCCTGTCATAAAAAAATCTATCGTTAATTTTTATCATATAATAGTTTTATTTTTGTAATTTATAAACACGATCTACATATATAAAAAGAAAATTTAACAAAAAATTTCAACTAAATCATTACAAACTATGGACTAACTTGTTATATTATAAAATTTATGGACTAAATTGGTAAATCCTTGTTAAAATTGTAAAACCAAAAATATTATTTAAAAAAAAACCAAAAAGACCAAAAAAATGTTTTTTAACCCAAATTTTACAAAATAAAACTTAAAGAACTGCATTTAACTTTTAAACAAAGTCTCTCTCTCACCGCCCTCTTCTTTGTCAGGCAGCCGGCAGGGTCTCTCCCCCACCGTCTCTCACTCTCTGTTTACTAAGCCGCCGCGGCCGGCGGCCGGCAGCCGTCTGGGATTGTCACTCATTCTCTCTCCTCTCCGCCATTGCCGCTCTCTCTGAGTTCCAGAAGTTTGTTTCTCTTCGCCAGTTTTTTTATTGTTCCCTCTTTTCGCATAATTGTCATACAAAGTTCTCTGTCTCTCTCGCCTTCTCCCTTGTTCGAGTGTCAAACAGCACGCGGCCGGAACTCTCTTGGACCCAACGAGCAAATTCGACGAAGGTAATGATGGCATACTGTAAGTTCAGTAAAAACTTCTGGGCCAATTTTTGGAATTACAATGTCATATTTTGTTGTGATCGGATTGATCTTATCGAAGGGTTCAACTCTTGATGTGTGTTGCAAATTGGATATTTGAAATCTTTGCTATTATAATTTGTATGCCCTTTTTGTTATGTAATTATTTAATACGAGATTGGTTATACAACCTCCGGGAGAAATGAGATTGTTACACCCAATTTCTGAAATGTTCTGGCTATAACAACAATAACTTATTGGATTTTCAGCTGTCCTGAATTTTCTCTTCATTGTATGCTGAAATTTTTATCTGATTGTGGTGCTTGTTCGTTTGCCCGGTCTGAATTAAAACTGCCAATTACTCCAAATTCTCTGTTGTAGAGATGGAGATGATGGTGATGAAAAAGGAAAGGGTGCACAAATGGAATGTGCTCCCATTTTCTGCAATAATAAGTTGATAATTTTCATGAAGGATTTATCTAACCTATTAGTTTAAGCTTAGACTATTAGTTTGAATCTTTGAAATGTCATTTCCTCTTCTTGAAATTAATAGTTTACGTGTTGGGCTTTATGAATAAAATTAATATCAGAGCTCATACGTGTTAGAGAGTGTTAAATATAAAAGATCAAATATATTTTATCATATCATGTTAAGCAAGCTTTTGGATTCAAAGGTGATTTAACCCCTTCACCTAAATTATTTTGCAGAATTGAAATGGAAGAAGTTACATTTGATCACAGGTCGAAAGAGAAGATTTTCAAGATTTTTGAAGAATTCATGGCTAGGTAGTCTTAGCCCCATTTTTGTCATTATCTTTTAAAGATTTTTCAGGAAAGAAAAATCTCAACTCTATACTCATGGCCGGTTTTTCAACTGATTTAGAAAATGTAGTTTGTAATCAGCCTGTATCATTTGAACTTATGCCATGTTGCTCCACAAAATTAGGAGTCTCTCGTGTTCGACTTAACTTTTTACATCCTTTCTTTTATACCGTTCGTGTCTATCATTAGTGAATGTTCGATATCAATAATTTTCCAGTGTTGCGAAGCTCGAGGAATTGGGGACTCTAGGAAGCGAGTTTCTTTCTGGCTTTCAGCAAGGGCTTGGTTGGTGTTCTATATCTTAAATAATACTTGTCATTGCAATTTTGTGGGGTTTATTGCTGGAGAGAAATAGTATAATTTTTAGATGGGTGGAGATGCCCTTGGAAGAGGTGTGAGAGGTTGTTGAGTATAATACCCCTTATGGGCTTTGATTACTAAACCATTTTGTAATTTTCAGTTAAATTTTATTCTTAAAGCTCAAGGAATTGGGGACTCTAGAAAGCAAGTTTCTTTCTGGCGTTGTGCAAGGGCTTGGTTGGTGTTTTGTATCTTAAATGATACTTGTCGTTGCTATTTTGTCGGGTTTATGGTTGGAGAGGAATATTAGAATTTGGAGAGGCCCGGTAAAGAGGTGTGGGAGGTTGTTGGGTTTAATACCTCTTTATCGGTTACTAAACTATTTTGTAATTTTCAGTTAAGTTATATTATTTTTAAGTGGAGTCTATTTGTTAGTTGAACTCCTTTCAAGAGGCTAGTTTTTTTATGCCAGTGTATTTTCTTTCATCTTTCTCAAATGAAAGCTTGGTTTCTCATAATAATAATAATAATAATACTTGTCATCGCATCTATTGTTTGGATGAAATGTTGTGTTTCATGGTGATTTTTTTCCCTTCCAGAGCTTCTTCGACGACCTGCTATAAATAGATCATCAAAATTGATTGAGGATGTCATAGAAACTAACAATACGGAGAATCTTAAATCATACTTTGAAGCTGGATGCATCAACACTCATGATGGTGTCCAAAGTACAAAAAAGTGTATGTTTCTATCCCGACTTCAAGTGAGTGAGTTTGTCGATAATTTAATGCTTGTATTAGTGAAATTGATCTCTGTTTTACATATAAATGAGAATTGAAAGGGTAGTCTCATTCTCTCCCTTCATGTTTCTCTCCTTTTCCACCTCACAATGTGCTTATTTCAATCAGAAGATCTTATGTAACAACTAGCTTAAACTGATTTTCTTTGATGTTTGCATTTTTTTTTTTTTTGGTGTCTTAGTTACTTTCCTCTGTCCATTTTTCCTGGTCTAATATCAATTTCTTTTTCACATACACCAAAAATTTGGATACGGAAGTGCATACATGCCGGATTGGACTGGATGATCATTTGAAAAAAGGTAAATGAATATCCCTATTAAGATTGAAACTTTTCACTAATTGTTACATTCTGTAAGCATACATCTTTCGTAACAACAAGTGCACAAGTTCTTCTCGATGTCTATATGGCTTCCTCTATTGGTTATGTTACATAGGTTTTATTTTTTTCGTTGGCACAGTTTTGTGGAACTTTTCTGCATCCTTATAATGTACTAAGGCACATTCTTGTTTCTCCAATTGACACTCGATCAGCCTGAAGTCTTCATCTTTGTTATTTACTAGATTCGTTCTTCTAGGAAGATATTTTCTTATTCTACTTCACGTATGTTAGTCATTTCAGTACATTCTTTGGCATCATATTGATATCTAATTATTCCATGCAACAACAGCAAGGAGCTTAATTGATGAACTCGAACACCTACTCAATAATGCGAATATTGCATTGGAAACTGAAAATTCACCGCGTGCTTCAACTGTCTCCGATGAAGATGTAGAATTGGATGAAGAAGAAGCAACCGTTCCAGATGAGGTAAACTAGGACTCCTATTTCTTTTCATTTTCTTTTATGGTTTATGATTTTTCAAAAACTTACATCTATTGTTACTTAGAAGTTGGAAACATCGTCTCGGGCATGCATTTTTATGTTTTTCGTTTTAATTAATTCCTGCCTTGTTCAGAAACTTGATGCTAATGAATATGCTTTATTTATGGGGATCATCAAATTTATGGTCAAGAAAGACTACATAATGCAGGTAAAGTTCTTCCTCCTTTGTTATTTTTCCTAGCGAAATACCAATTCTATCCTTCTCTTCTTTTTCTAGAACTCGTTATCGAGGACTTCACTCCTTACATTATGTTTATAGCCCGCCCCCTATAAATCCCGGGGGAGATATCTCCAAGAAACGCAATGCTATCCAAATTTAACATTATCACAACTGTAACTTGATGCAGGAGAAGATTATTTCTGGTCTAAGTCTCAAATCATCCTCCGGGGAACTCGAAACGTACTGCGTCATGTGGTCGCTACGACCCTATATTGACGATGAAATCATACGTCGAGCTTGGAAGCTCGTTCTGTGACTGGTAACAACTCTCTCTGTGAATGATTTTGTCTTTGAGATATCAATAGCTTGCAGTAAGTTCAATAGCCAAAGGCTGATAATTGTGGTTTCTTTTAAATCAATATCCTCCCCGGGAGCATCAGAATTTGAAAGTTAGACAGCTTAGTTGATCTTGTGATTATGCTTTTTTACAGATTGAATGGAATTTTTTTCATTATGAAGTTTGTAAAGAATGACTTATATTACAGATATATGACATAAATGCATATTTTTGTTGGATTTGTTTATTGGATAAAAATAAGATTTAAACTTAAATCTATGCTAGCAGTAAATATTGCCAATTAACTTTCCCTGTCAATATAAAATCTTATTAAAGTGTTGGTTAGTTTCCTAGCTACAAGGGAATGTGTTAGATTTTAAAAGTTATAGTGTCAATTTTACAAAAATGTTGATGAAAATATTGGCAGATATTTCAAGAGAATTTATAAAAATAAAATTATAAAATTTATTTAAATGAACAAACAAGTATTTTACTCTAGATAAATTTGTTATTAATGTTATGCATATATTAATGATTTTTTAAATATATTTTAAATATTTTGTCGATTTTTTTACTATATATTTTTTATATCAATATTAAATTTATAGACATATGAAAATATATCGATGAAAATTTATATATTTTTTATATCAATATTAAATTTATAGATATATGAAAATATATCGATGAAAATTTAAAATGTTTGGGAGCATGATATTTGTAAATTGTAAGGGAGCCATTTTGTAATTTCTGGGGTCTAAAGGTAAATATTTACTTTGTCAAGAACTTCCAAATAAACATGGAATTTAGTGTCTAATTATTGCCATGAAGTGGGGCCCACAGATTACTCAAGCAAGATCGATTATGTGGGCAAATTGGTATTTTTGTCCCTTTTCTTCTTTTAATTTGGACTTTTAGCTCCTTCTAAAATCTCATATTCATGATCCTCTCTTCTAATTTTTGACATATTTTCACTTTTTGATTTGGTAAAATTGTCAAAATATTTTGTTATTAAAAATTGTAAATTTCTTCATAATCTTTATTCCCTCCCCCAAATCTCTTACCATAAACTTCACAATAATATATTCAATTACAAATATAAAATATCTAACTTTTAAATGTGGAAAAATCAATTATAAATTGAAAAAGTACTCAAATAGTTAATGACGAATTTAATATAGAAAAAAATCTATTTAAAAGAAAAAGTTGAAATTAGAATATAATTATTTAATCGTCCGGATTTAATTAAAAAAGTCAAGATTCCATAAATCTCTAGTCAATCCGAGATTTAATTGACAAAGAGGACCAAGAAGGAGAAGAAAAAACTGAAACTGTGTTGATCCCATCCCGAGATAGCACCATCTCGGACCAGGATTGCATAATCCATACTGGGATTGTGCTATCTCAGGCTAGGATACACACCGTTCCAGTTTTTTATTTTTATTTTTTTAATATTGTGACATTTATTATTGGATCAAGCAATTTTTTTTTTCAACATAATTTAGTTATTGGAGATTTTTGTGGATTGTGTCATTGGTTTTCAATTGGTTATTATATTGATATTTTTTTCATATTAGATTCAAATTAAAAAGAATTTGTGAGGGTAAAGATGAGAGACCGATAGAAAATTTTACTTTAAAAAAAAACAGAAATATTTTGGTAATTTTACAAAGACGAGAAATTGAAAAGGGTAAAATTAAAATAGGAGTCGATGAGGGGTACAAAATTCAAATGGATTATAGAATGAGTCAGAAATCTCAATTTCCTTGCCCTCACTTTATTATTGAAATTAATTTAAATTTTGTTTTGGCTAAAGGTTAATTTAATAGAATGGTATCATTCCTAAACTTCACAAACCGTTAAATTACCAAATTGGCCTTTATCTAGTTCCATATGTAAAGTTTAATTAATTTCAATTTAAACTCTTTAATTTTAAAATTTTTATTACAAATCATCTCTAATTTTTAACATTACAAGTAATTACCATATTAAATAAGTGGATCATATTCTATCTATTTGGTGATGAGTAATGACTATGTTAGTTTAATATACTTTTAACCTAAAAGTCATATAATTTTAATTTTTTAGATGAGTTATGAGAGTTAACTAAATAATAGAAACAAAGTTAAAATTAAACTGATCCAAAATAAGAATTTAACATATTTTCTACACCGAAGTTGTGTGAACAATTCCAAAGCTACTTAAAATTATTTATTTAAAATAAGATAGCGATCCAAATATATTTTGTTCTATGCACTTTCAATTACTTTCAAGGTCAATATATTTTCAATTTTGGTTCATATAATATTTGTACTTCTAAAATGTTCGTTGGGTCTCTAAAAAGTAACTCTTTTAGTCTTTATTTTCAAAAGTTGAACACAAATTATGCATATAATGGAAATTCTTTAATATAAAGGTACGGTTATATTGAATATAACATCGGGTTGAAATTGTGATAAAAATAAAATTAAGAGATCCACTCTTTAAAATTATTAGTGTAGACTAATGTCTGATTCTATTTATTTCCCACTAAACCAATAATTTAAATTTAAGTTGATGTCTTTAGAATGAGACTAATAAATCTAGCAATTAAATCATTTAATTTAAGAGATGATGGGATAAAAATCCTGTTAACCATTTTTCTTATAAAAATGTGAATTTTTTTAATTATAATTTGCTAGGATGGGTTCGAAATTTTATTTTGATCTCTTGAACGGTTCATATATTTGTTCAAATTAACTAATTCTAATTTGATGATAAATTTAACTTTTACTTTATCATCTATAAGCTAATTTTACTTTATCGTATATAATCAGCTTAGTTAATTCATTTTATAAATGTATTGAGAAATAAGGAAATATATACCTACCATGGAAAAAGTTATATATTCCATATAGATTTGTATGTACGTGTGTTTCTATATATGAATTTTCCGAATTAAAACTAAATAAAAAACTACAACCATAAGTAATTTCATTGGGAATTTTAATTTTTTGTCAACTTTGATTTAACTTCTGTTTTACCCATTTAACATAGAAACTTGAAGATGGTTTCTAAATAATTATTCCTCAAGATAAACTATAATGCTCTTTGGCAGTCAATATTGATTTTTTTTTTCTAATTTAATATAATTCAACTCGTTGAGGCACCTTTCACTTAAAGATTTTTTAATTTAAATTTTTACTGCCATAGATTATACTAAAAAAACAGTTTTTTTTTTCTTATCAACATTGAAATGGTAACCTTTAATTTGCATTATTGAAGGAATCCAAATACTTGACCAAATTCTATCTAAGATGATCGTTTCCTTGAATGCTGTGAAAGAGTAATTATGTTGTCCTAAATAGAAAAACTTGTTTAAATATGTATTGTTTTAATATTTCATTTTTATTTATTTGTTTAATATAAGATGTCGATTACATAGGAGAGGGAAAAAATTTAAGACGTAAATAAACAAAGTAAACATTTGTCCAATTGTATTGTATATACTAGCATTATTTTGAATCGAAGAGTAATTACATACAATAACAATGATATGTAGGAAAGTCAACGATGAACATTGTTTTGGTGAAAATACTTAGCTCCTCACTCGTAAGGAAGAACTTTGTCCTTACTACCATTAAATATTTGAGTTCCTCCAATATTTTCCTTATTTTGGATGGCAAGCAAACGTTTTCGAAGGATCTTGACCATAGTTTGAGGGTTGAGACGTCGATTGTCGAAGAAATTGCATGGCTCAAAATCCAACAAGAAAGGAAAAATATCAGGACACCGCCATTGCATAGGGCTATAAACGCAACCTCCATGCACGAAATTATAGAACTTGGTCTCCTTAAACAGATGGCTCACCACAACATCAGAGGAGTAAAATGCCCTAGGCATCTCCATGGCCAGATCTAACTTTTTGGTCCATATTCTCTTCTTGTAATTCTCCATCACCCATACCTCGGTCGCTTCCACCCTCGTCCCCTGCACCATCATCGCGAGTTTTCCTTCGTACTATGAAAGCTTTACTCGATGATCAAAGTCGTCGTGGTTTAGCGGGCGATAAAGGAGCAGCTTTCGGTGTGAAAGTCGAAAGTGAGTATGGTTTCGTAGCTAAGGAGCCAATGAGCCAAGCCACGAGCAGAAACATTAGGAGAGTGAAAGGCTATGTCGCCCATCTTTAAGACATACCTGGCGCTCTACATTCAAATCTTTGAAAAAAAAACATTTTAAAATCAAATTAAACATTTAAATAGTTTTTAATGAGATCTCTCTAAATTATAGTCAAATTGTCATATTTTAAAAAAAAATCCGAAAAAGTTTTTATCTTTTTTCTCTTTTTCAAATTTAAATATAATTCAAATACTGTTTTTAAAATAAAAATATAAAAAACGAGTAAATGGTTTTAGAAGGTAGATGTTTTTAATTTTAGAATAATAAAAAATTGTAACAAAAAAAAAGGTCAAGATATTTTTTTTTTTTTTAAATTATCTTTAAGACGAGTGCCCCAAACTTCTAGCTTCTAGACTATTTTCTAATTATATCCACTTTACCACTTTATTAGAATAAACCATCTATTTTTTTCTTTTTTTACATGAATATTTTTCTTTTGCTAATTGATTATAATATATACATAAAAACTACCAAACCAATAATGTAAATTTAAGTTGATATCTTCATAATAATGGGATTAAGTAAATATAAGCAATTAAATCATTTAATTTAAGAGGTAAAAAAAAATTATACAAGAAAGATTTGAAATTTTTATTTTAATCTCTCGATGTTCGGTTCATATATCGATTCAAATTAACTAACCATAATTCGATAATAAATTCAGCTGAATTAATTCGAGTAATTTGAATAGTTTATTTTATATATATGTTAAAAAAAATAGTTAAATTTTATATCTACCATTTTGTACAAAGGAAAAATTATTTATATTTTCATTTACTTTATATGTACGTGTGTGTCTATATATGTATTTTCCAAACTAAAACTAAAATAAAAAAGTACAACCATAAGTTATTTCATCGGGAATTGTAATTCTTTTTTTTTTTGTCAACTTTGAGGCAATTTACTTTTTTGGTCCCACTATCATTAATGCAATCAATCTGTAATATCTTTTGATATAAGGTAAATTAGTCACCAACTTTGACAAAATTCTTCCATGGGACCATTAGTGATGAAATTCAATAATTAATAGTGGCTCTCATTGAAGCAATTTCTCACTCTTTTTTATTCACAAATTAATGTTTGGTCAAATTTCTTTCCTTCGTTTTGGACTAGCAATGAGTCGCTTTGTTGATTTTAAAGTTAATTATTGATCATAAATATAGGTATTTGTCAACATAAACTTAACTCAATGATTAAAACATTTTGTTTATTTCTTAAAGTTCGAGGTTTATATTTGTTGTACTAAAAAATTTACTAATTTCAATAATAAATACTCAAACAGAATTACTTTTTTATTACTTGTATTCAATACATTGGAGAATCCATCCCAACCACATCTTGAAACTCAATTCCCGATTTTTTTGTAATTTTAAAGAAAAAACTTGTATTCAAGACTAATTAAATTATCCTTTTTAATTCTAAATTTCTATTGCAATTCTAAATTTATTTAATCTTCTAATTACATATTTACATCCAATCCTGATTATTTAAAAAAAAAAAAAAAGTTCTTTTACCCCACCAAGTAAATACTAAATATCTTTAAACTGAGGGCATTCTAGTACTTTAGCATCAGTAGAACCGGCCCGACTCTCCACCTCCGTTAAGTCCACGTGTCACTTATTTCTCTCAAGAACCCCGAGTCGTGGGGTCCGCTTGTCCAAACGTTCTTATCCTCAACAACAGCTCTTCTCAGCCGACCGATCCATTGGATCGAAGATCAATCCAACGGTACAGATTTCATCTCTATCCCAAGGCGACTTGTTCGATGTTTAACGCCCCCAATTCTCTTTAAATATCTTCTCCGCTCCGCCTTCAGTGATCTTACATTTTCAGCACCGCCTCTTCCTTCGCCGTGCCGGAACGGAACAGCCATCGACCATTTCTATCTTTTCCGTTCGATTCGCCGTTTTCTATGGGCTTACTCGACCATCTCTGGGACGATACCGTCGCCGGACCGAGGCCGGAAAGTGGCCTCGGCAAACTTCGCAAACACTCCACGTTTCCCGGTCGATCTAGCTCCGGCAAGGGTACGCTAAGCCCTTCTTTATTCCAGTGCTCCCATGGCGGACACTTTGTGAACCTCGATTAACTTCAGCTGAAAACTCTAATTATAAGCATAATCTTGGAATATCGATTTAATTTTAGATGTAAAAGAGAGATTCTAATTTATTGTTGATAAATCTTTTAAACGAGAGACCTACTGTTGATTTTGCCGTAGAAATAACCAGCAGCCCGGATTTGTCCGGCAACTTGCCTGGATCTATACTTTTGAACTGAAAAGATGCTCAATAGATGCCTTAAACTCCATAGTTTTCTGTGTTGACTTTTATTTTTTTTCTTGTTTTTTTAATAAACTTCTTTTGGATCAGAACTGGATGGCGGGAACGCGAGATCGTACGGCGACGAATCTTCAGAGTCGCCGATGAGGATCACGCGGAGTATTATGATCGTAAAACCTCCAGGTTACCAGTTCAGTTCGCCTCCCATTTCACCGGCCGGATCCAATTCTCCGGCGTCTCCCTTTTCTGGTAAGTTACAGAGTCGTCCTTTTCCCTTTTCTCTTTAATGGAAATGACCAATATGCCCTTCATATAGAGTCCAAAAATGCCCAAACATTTAAGATTTATCTTACACGAGGGGGTGTTTTTTGTCCTTTGGTGATGTGGTCTTCTTCATGATTGGACAAGCTCAACGCACAGTGGGTGTTTGTTGAAAAGCCATGGTGCTAATTAAGCCGGGTTTCATATTGTGGTTTCATTCAAAGCTTCTCTTTGTTTAAAGCTTGATCACCATAGAATAGTTGATCCAGTGACCCACCGTATTAATGGGGAATTATTATCAAATTTCGGTTCAGTCGTTGTCAATTCATTGCATGCTTCTATTTTTGTGGACATTGTTATAGCTTTCTAATGTGGAAATGGAAAACTGGGCCATTGCAACATGTTCTTCTGTTCTCTGGAGTGGCAAGGAGATTGCCTTGTTTGTTGGTTAGGAGGTCTTGTCAAACTTTAAGTGAAAATATTTTCGTGTGGATCTGCTTCTTTGATACAAAAAGTTGGATGAGGTAGGTGGGAATGGTGGTTGAAAATGAAAACGTAGAGCTTACTTCATAAGCATGCATTTTGGTCTAATAAAAAATCTGGATCTTGTGGAAATATTATTAGCAAACTAATGATCATTGTTACTCTGTTGACTGATATCCATACACCAAAGTTTTTTCTCTTATGGGTTCCATTTACTGTTAAAAAAAAAATCATCCGGAAATTCATTAACAATTGAAAACTTTCTGTGATTTTGCTTTGCTTCATGTTTCATTTTTGTTAAACCACTACTGAATCCAAAAGTTGGGTTATACAGTAAATTTAATCATTTATCCATGAATCCAGAATTGCGGCAACCTACTAGCTTAAGCTTCAAAGGTGATTTAACCATTTTTAGGGTCCCTTTGTTTTGTTCTTTCATTCATCTTTTATGAGAGCTAATTCCTTGTATAAACGATTCTTATCTTTGATTAACATACTTTTATAAACGGTTTAGATGAAGTTGTAGATTCATTAGAGAGTTCATATCTTAGCTTCTTGGAACTCTGTGTTTGTTTATAACTCATTTCTCCCTTTTGGAGGTAGAGAATCCTTCCGGTTTCGAAGAAGGTCGACATCAGATGGTTACGAGAAGGCAACCGAAGGTGGACCCGGGAGCTCTTCTTCTCCTCACAACATGTGAGATCTAAGCCGCCCTTCAAGAAATGCTTCTCAAACCTTCATAGATTATGTAAACTTTTTTGTTGTTGTGTATTGTGTAATGCAGCTATATGCTTGTGAATTTCTGTATGAAGGTGTTAGAAAATTAAAGTCTTGTAGGAAGGAAGTTATCTATAAGTATAATATATCTATAGGAGGATATCTAAAAGCGAGGGAGCTTATGGTAATTTTGATGTGTGTAGATGAGGGGGTATTATATGTAAATATAGATAGAAGAAGGCATCTTTCAGTTTCATGTAGTAGTTGTGTCAACCTCTTTTGCTGGTTTTGTTAGTGGAATCAAAAGGCAAGTTCTTTTCATGTGGGCCTTCTGGATTGGCTTTCATTTTCATTTGAAACTGCAATATTTTCCTTTGGGTGGTGCCCACATGGCACCAAATCAATTCTTTGGACAGATGCTTTTTATTTAATCAGTGCCACTTTCAAGTTTTAATGCCACTCCTCTTATGGTAGGTTTTTTTTTACAACATGGGTGGATTTGAACTCGTCCTCTTTTAGTTGAGGATGTATGTCTTAATCGTTGATGATATATGCTTTAATTCATTAAAGCTATATTCGATGTTCGAGTTATGTGGGGAGATTTGAACTCATACTCTTTTATTTGAGAATGTATGTCTTAATTATCGATATATCTTAATTTGTTAAAGCTATGCACGATGCTCAAGTTATGCTTGGATCGTGTTATGTCCGGAGTGGTTGGATTTTGAGATGGGATTTTATCTCATTTACATCATACTTGAGGATGAACCTAATAATTGATAAAAATTAGGTTAAAAAAGACTTTTAGAATTTGTCCATTCGCTAAAGTAATAATTTAGTTTTTGAACTTTAACAATTTAGTCCTTATATTTTTAAATTGGTAACAATTTCCTTAACTTTAATATGTAACAATTTATTCATGGTAATTTAAAGTTGGTAACGATTTAGTTTTTATAATGAATTTTTTTTTCTTTTTTTTTGGTTAAGTTTCTTATAGGTATAGATTGATAAACTAAATAGGGACAAAATATGTTTATGAATTAAAAAGATTAAATTATTATATGATAAAATTTGATACTTAATTTTAATAAAAAATTTTACGATAGGGACTAAATTATTACAAATTTTAAACTACAGGGACTAAATCGTTACAAGTTAAAGTTCAGAAACTAAATTGTTACTTTAGGAAAAGTACAGTGGGACTAAATCGTTACAAACTGAAGTTCAAATACTAAATTGTTACTTGAGTGAAACTACAGGGACTAAACATATTTTTTAATCTAAAAATTATATTGAGCCTATTTTAAAAATTTTAGTAATTAATTGTCTTATTTTAGTCTTTATATTACCAAATATTTTGTTATTTCTCGTCTTTTATGCAACCTTTTATGTTCTTTTACACAATCTTATCTTTTTTGTTACACTGGTTTATAGGTCTCGGGTTCGAACTTTCTGGTGAGCTTAATAATAAAAATTTTTAACGTCTCTCGAGTCCAGATCTTGAGGTGGACGTGGGTGCCCCTGGGTATAGGAGAGCAAAGCTACGATTCCCTTTATCAAAAAAAAAATAAAAATTAGGTCTCCCTGTTTCAAACTCTGTTAAATCTCGCAGCAAGTCAATGTTGGCGACTAATGCAAGTTGCAAACCATTATTGGAAAATATATTTAAAGATTATAATGTGACTAGACAAGTTTGTCCTAATTTTCCTTTTTTTTTTAAATTGACTAATTCAAAGTGCAATAATTATTAATTCTAATGTGATTGTCACATTAAGATTTTCTATTCAGAATAAATTAATAAAATCATAATAAATAAATTGAAAGACAAATAAGTGAGTCATAGAGTATATAATCAAAAAATAAGTTTAAATGCGATTTTAGCTCGCAAAGTATGTAATTCAAAATTTACTCAAAAACAAAAATCCAAAATTAACGTCTTTTTTTTTTTAATGACAAAATTAATAAGTCAAATACATGTTGAGTTTGTTTATCTCTGTAAAATAGTGTTATGAGATATTTATATAATATTCTTTTTTATATTTGTAAAAAGAAACATATTCTTTTATACCATTAAAACACAAATTATGCATTAATTCTACTCCTAACCTCAAGCATATGGACATGAGTCAAAAATTCCCTTAACATCTAGAATTTAATCTTCCACTTTTTTCTACATGTAACTATTCGAGAAAAAAAAATTACAATAGAAATTTAGATTTTTTTTTTTGAGTTTAATAATTGAGGAATGGAACCATTGATCTTTAATATGAAAATATATATCTTATCTACTGAATTATACTCGAATTGATAACCTGGCGATCAAATTCTTGGTGGGAATCATCAACCTTATAATGTTTTAATAACGGCTCACGCGATAACAAAAATTTTAGAATTAAGAAAGATAATTTAACAAAAAAAAAGTCTCGTAATTAGTCGAGGTGTACATAAGTTGGCCCGAACACATAGATATAAAAAATAAAAATAAAAAGTTTAAGTTAGTGAAGATCGTTATCAATATAGTTTTGAATATAAGTTTTTGTTGTTTGTGTTGTACCTTTCTTTGGAATTTTGAGACACTTTTTGGAATATAATCTTAAATGGGCACCACATATTTTGTTTTCAATTTTCAATTAGCATTAGGGATTTTCCTATTTGGATGCTACAATCATAAGTGGATTCCAAGCAATTATTGCTAATAAATAAATTTTCTGATGGGAGAATTTGGTCATTTTAAATGCAGAATATATCATTTAGTCTCTGTAACATTTTTTAAATTTTCAATTTCGTCTTTGATATCTTTTTTTTCAAATATTAAATACTAGATTTTAAATCGAAAATCAATATTTTTAAGATTACTTTTTGAGAGTAGAAATATAAAATTAAATAACTTCATCAATCATATAATAATAATGTTAGCAAAAGCAAACATAGTCTAATTACCTCCAACCGTGAGTTCGAATCCTCCCAACATATTGTACTAAAAAAATATATAATAATAATATTATATATATACATATATATATAAAAAGAAGGTTTAGCATAGTTGACCAGGATTAAATATGCTTTTTATATTAAAGAAAAACTTTTGTGAACGTACTTTTTCTTCCTCTATTTTGATCCCTAAACTTATATATTTTATACTTTTATGGTTTTCTTCTTCTTCCATTTTTAAGAAACTTATACTTTTAAATTTATTTCATTTTAATTCTTCGATTATCAAAATGTCTATTTATATTCCTAAAGCTGATTTTAATTATATGTATTAGACTATGCTATTGAGTGGATGATATTTATTCATATTTAATATGTTTAAATACCGTTTTAGTTTCTATAATTTTAATTTTGGTTCATATACTTTTAAACATCTATTTTGGTTTATATACTTTCAATTTTTGTTTATTTTAATCTTAATTTTTGTTTCATCCCTCTACTTCTAAAAGGTGATCTTATCTCATTTGTTTCTATCACAATTTTAGTGCATTAAATTATTTCTAATGTATATAAAATTTGTGTTAAAATTTTACAAATAAAGATCAAAATATTCACTTTTTAAAAGCACAGAAACCAAAACCAACGTTTCAAGTACAAGGAACCAAGTGGAAAATACAATTACTATTTAAACCTATTTAATACTTTTTATAATTAAATTTTCAATACTTTTATAACCTTCTTTCTCTCTCTAACTCATTTTGGCTCTTTCTCTCTCTCACCGCTCCCAACTCAATCCAATCATATTATAGTTGAACTTTCTCCCTCTCATAATCTGTTAGACCTAATTCAATTCAATCATATTGGTATTGGAATTTAGTGGTTCAAATTATTTTAGCAGAGACCATATATAATTTTATTATTTTCTTAAAAAAATTATAATAAATTCGTAAATATTCACTGGGCCATTCATTAATGAGTCCGGCCCATTCATTTACAAGCCCAAATGACATGGGCCTAGAACCAACAACAAGCCCAAAAAATTATAATTGGGCCCAATTTGCAGCGAGGACTCTGATTGTGGAGTATCCACCGGCACCAAAAATTTCGTCTCTCTGCAAATCAGAGCATTGTCTTCTTTCTTCGCTTCTACGAACTGTAATTTGCACCCGAGAAGCTCAAAAATGGAACAAAGGACCAAGAATATAAATATTCGGTACTTATTCATGCTGCTAAATTTCAATCTGCTGCTTCCCTTTTTATCCGGTAAACTTTATTTCTTGATTTTCTTTTCTTCCTCGATTTCCTATGAGTTGTGCGATAGTGTTAGATTTATAGCAAAATGATCCGTAATTGTGTTGAATTGAAATATATTTGGTGATAATTGTGATTACTGTGCCTAATTTCTGGAGATTGCAGCTGGGTTTTGGTTCCGTTGTTTGGTTGCTGGGAAAATTGTAAAGTTTTTTAATCCGTCTTGTGTGTAGTTTGCTCCTACTTGAGAAATTGGATGATGTTCTTTCCATTTTATCTAATCTTTTGTCTCGTATCTGGAAAAATGGTTGTTGTTCCGAATCTCTGAAATAAGCAGCCATCTATCAAGTTTTGCGGCACTCAATATGGGATTGTATTTTTTCTTGTGTAACACAAAAATTTATGGCATTTTCTCCTTTCTTATTAATCTATAGGTTGACTTGATTATATTAGTTTGGAATTTGGATGAACTTCCGCTAATATGTTGTTCAATTCTGCGTTCCTGCTTATTTATTATTGCTTATATGGGAGGTAGAAACAGCTTCGTTGTATTTTCTACCTTGTACTGCATTACTAGTCCAAGTATAGGTATTGTGAGGTAGATTATTTTTTTACCTCTTTTCTGTTTCATTGTTTTTCATAATGCAAATAGGAGTTGTTTGACAAAATTGTGTTTTTCTTGCAGGTGAGTCAAATGATGTCTGCATTTCGCAAGGTGGTCGTTTCCCACCCTTCTCAATGGAAGGAAAACCTCCAAAAAAGGTTAACAAAGCACAAGATTTGACGCTTTGCCGAGTCTTCCGAAAGAAGACTTGCTGTGGTGTAGCCCAAACGCACCCGGCTTTGCTTTCTGTTAGGAGGCTGGCTTCAACAGGGGAAGGCAACCAGGAATGCTTGCAATTATGGGAACTTCTGGAGTGCTCGATCTGTGATCCACAAGTTGGTGTTCAACCTGGACCTCCTCTAATATGTGCCTCTTTCTGTGACAGAGTCTTCAAAGCTTGCTCTGATGCTTACTTCTCTGTCGATGCTAAAACACAGGTGAGCGGATGGTAGGGACCTAGAGATTTTTTTTTATTTTTTTGGCTGGTAATGTGTCGTAAACAGGTTTGGAGTATTAAATAACCGTGATAATTTTCATCATATGAGGTTCTTAAAAACGATTGTCTTAGTTGCACATAGATCATGGCACTGATTTTAGAAGGAAAAAGAAAAGGATATCTTATGACTAGTAAATTCCTTGGTTAAGTTATTAATTTAGTCTCTAAATGTTGAATATTATGTGTATTTGGTTCTTCAACTTAAAAAAAAAAAAAAAACAATGATGTCTCACAACTTTAGGTTATGCTTCTATTTAGTATCTATTATTAATACCATTAATACAATGTTAGTGCGATATACTAATAAATCTATCTAGTTATTTGGTACATCATTATAACTGTACCAAAATTTATCTAATGGTCATATCACGTTAATATTCCATTAAATAAACACAATGTTCAAAGTTGAGGACTAAATTTATACTTTTAATGTAAAACTTTTAAAGCATGGTGCCAGGTGAATTTTGTTGTTAGTTTCTGATTGGAACTTCATTAGAATTATGTTTATATGTTAATTTCAGCTTTCCAGATGCACTGTGTTTTTAACCAACATAATGAGAATTGAGATAGTAAAACATGAACTCGAACCCAAGACTACATATACTTCCTGATTAGATTTTATGGTTCAGGTTCTAGCACCATGCGGAGTGAATGACTTTGTGTGTGGCAGGGCTTCTCAATGGGTCTCGAATGGCACGGAGCTTTGCAGTACTGCAGGTTTTTCAGTTAAGATGTCAGATGAAGAAACCTCTTGTTATGGTAGTAAAACTAGACTAGACTCCATTGCTAGTTCGTGGAAGACTTCATCATCTCCAGTGTCGTCCCGAGGAACAGGGTACTTGGGTGTTTTAGAGGATTTCCAGCAATGGGTAAGAGAAATGAGTTTCGGGGAACAGGTTTCTTGGCTGATTGGTTCCATGGTGATTACGGCAGGCCTTCTATTTTCCAGGTTGGGGAATCTAAACATTTTAATTACATGGTGTTTTAGTTTCCGAGGCTTGAACATGTCGATGGCTATGCTTTAGGTATTAACTTCAATAAGATGGGACCTGTGGTTCAATGAGGAAGACTCAAAAGGTAGTTAGAAATAAAAAGTACTTGGCTTATGTTCTTAATTCTAATGAATACTCGATCAAATTAAATGTTTAAACTATGTTAGTGCTTGATGCGTATGAAGGACATTAGTGGGTTTTCAATCTTTTTATAAGTTCTGACTATTAGTTACTTGACACTACGGGATTGAATACTCAAGTAAAACAATAGCAACCAAATTCATAAAAGATAAGGGAAGGAGTTTAAGACTCAAAATGTTACAGTTCTTTGTTTTCATCTGTTCTATTCTTATAATGTCTATAATATGCAGCAAAAGGAAAAGTCATAACCAGCGCCAGAAATACGCTGCTATTCAACGAGCAACAAAGAAAATGGAAGCAAAGACGAGCCAGAATTCAATTGGTACTCAAGCAATCAGGAGAGGAAGTAGAAGATGACTGTCACCTTACATCTAGAGACAATATGTCTGGCCAATTTGTGAGTAAAACTATACCTCTTTTCTATGCATTTCAAAAAATCCCAAAATTTTTAACGTTTCTTCGCGTCGCTTCACCGTATTCTTCTTGTCTAGCTTATATTCATTAAGGTTCACTATTTGCAGAAAAATTGGACTCTGGTCTCCACCAAGTTCTGATGCTTCAAAGTAGCAGCCATGGTTGCTCTTCCATTAAAATGAAAGAGAGAAGATAAAAGGGGAAAAAAAAGTGAGTCATCTAGTTGTACAATGGTAGGAAGGATTGAAAATTGTGATAATTTCCATGGAATTGTGTATTTAAAATCATCTCTTGTCAAAATTCAGCCATATTCAGATTTTCTCTTTTTGTAGAGAGGGATTTTTTTAATCATAGAAGAATTTTGGGTGAGCCATAACAGTTTGTTGATGACTTGATGTATACTGATGAAGCAGCTTCATTAACTTGGTAAATTCTGTAATTTAGTTTTGAAATTTATTTGCTTGCTTTCTTCCCCTTGTGTTTCAATGGAGAATGGGTTGAGCTTTCAATGGTAAAACGAAGCCTCCAACCAACAAAATGTTATGAGAGTTGTTGGTGAAAAATCTTTGAATATTAGGGTTTATTCGTTGAAATATTGTTTCTCAGGCTAATCACGTGTGAGAGTGAAGATTTAAATTTTTGGGTTTTTAACGTGTCTTGTTCTCAATTAATTGAACCATGTTCAGATTGATTTGAAAATATTATTAGATGGCATTTTGAAAATAATTCTTAAGAAAATTAAGCTAAATGTTAATTAGATAATGTGGGTTCATTTAACATAAATATAATGGAAAAGTGATCGATCAATTGAATAAAATAAAATGTTTTTGGATAAAAAACGGTTAGTAATTGTTTTCAAAAATCAAGTATGATTCAAATAATTATTGATATTATTAATAATATATATGACTATTGTGGTAAGGTCGTATGGACCTATCAATACCATATCAATACTTTTATATTCTTAAAATATATTTCTAAATTCAATGTTCTTTATTATTACATTCTTGTTGACATATTAGTATTTCTATCTATCTCAAAGCGAGCATAGTTAAAGGAAGTGAATTCGATCCTTCACCTCATATTGTACTAAAAAAATATTTTTACCTGTCTATAGACTTAACATTGACATTTTCACATTATCACAAAATAATAATAATAATAATAATAATAATAATAAAATATAAAAATATAATCAAAATAACGATAATATGAACATAATATAAATATAGATAATTTTTATCTTATTTAAAAAATATATAATGTTCATTTGTTAATTTAAATATTTGTCATGAATTTTTTATTTTTATAATTTTTCAAAATATCTATAAGATATTTTATCGATATTTCAAATATCAGAAAATTGAGACCTCTTCATTTCTTAAAAAAAAAAAAGAAATAATGATAAAATAATAATAATAATAAATTGAGACCTCTTCAAAATCCAAAAAAAGGAAGAAAAAAAAACACTATGAACCAATGACTTTATAATCATAACATTATAAATGAACTCAAATCACTTTATAATCACCATGGAAGAAGCAATCTCTTTCAAGTCATTTCAAAAGAACTATGAACCATTGCCTTCCATATTTCTACACACAACTTCTGCACTTCAATTAGCAAAGCCATTGGAGAATCCACTGAAACCTACCTACTGTTCGGATACCGGGATAGGGGCCTAACACGGTTTTTACAGGTTCTATCGGTAGGCCTCCGGCGTGGTCATAGCAAGCCTGAAAACTATGGAGTGCAGAGCACAAACAACTCATTGTCTCCAAAACGACTAGAGCTTGGTTTCGTCTCTCGCTATCGAAAAGGAACTCTCAACTAGTCAACCTCTCCCAATTTTGGGAGGCTGCTCAAGGAAAGATAGAGAGAACATTCAACACAATACTCTAACAAGCTCGATTCAGCAATGCAACCGAAAGTAAAAGCAAGTGTAGGTGAAGATATTCGGTACCTTCTTAAGAATTACTCTTGAACCACTTCCTGATGCGTTCTGATCAACAGGTTTCAATATCTCGAAAGAACAAACTAGAGATTCGTCGACGCTCAATAGAGCACCCGCATTGTCAAACTCTCCGCCGTAGTTCGGAGCAGAAAATATGGTGACTAACCTTCTTTTGGCAAAAAATTCATATCCATCCTCCACCACCTGTGGAAGGAGATCAGAAAAATACAGTTGTATAAGAAGGGCAAAGCACATTTGAGAGAGCAGTAACATTCGAAACCGTTCCATTTTTCTCTTCGATGCAACGAAGTAAAAAACATGGTATATAAGACTGTCATACACACCGCTGCATTTGTATCATAGGCAATTTCCAGGGCGTGCTAACGATATTACCGATGGCAATTCAAAAGCAAAATTTCATATGGAAAGTTAGTGTTAAACTTCATGGAAAAAGTATGTTTACCTGATGACCGCGACAAATGAGATCAAGGTCATTCTTATCTAAGAATTCAACCACTTGATCTGGTCCGAAAGTGCACGAAACACCTCGATCACTGTCTGCCCAGCCCTTAATACTAGGATCAGGATCGGACCAAAGCAGATCACAGAGAAGACCATTGTCGGGAATCTCAGTAGGCCTCGCAAGTTCCTTAATCTGATCCAAATTATGCAAATCTGGAGATAGTCCTCCATGCATACAAAGTATCTTATCGTCGATAAGTCCAGCCACGGGCATGCAGTTGAAACAATCTGTAAATATTTTCCAAAGCCTAACATTAAACCGCCTTTTACATTCGTCATAGAAACCATAGATTCGGTTGATCTTCGCATCCTCATGGTTCCCCCTCAGGAGAAATACTTTATCCGGGTGTCTTATTTTATACGCCAAAAGTAAACATATCGTTTCCAAACTTTGCTTCCCTCGATCAACATAATCCCCGAGAAAGAGATAATTTGCGGAGGGAGGGTACCCACCATATTCAAATAGTCTGAGAAGATCTTTGTATTGACCATGTATATCACCTGTAAGAAGCCAGCAGAACCCAAACATTTATGTCAAAGTCATAATTCAACAGAATTGGATGCTTTTTATTTATTATTTCAAGCTCATTCCCTAGGCCTAGTTCTAGTTCATGAAAGTACGCTACAATATCAAACAAAAAGGAGAAATTGTATCAAAAGACCAGCATTTGGGACACAAAAAAGCTTGATTCATCTAGCAAATACCTAAGGAAATGTACGGGTTCGATTTCGAACTTATGTTTTCTAACTTTCGAAAGTCACCGAACAATACATTAACCTAGCAAATCACAATCTTACATACCAAACTTAGACTACACAAACTTACGTTCGTTATAACTCATTACTCTGCAAAATACATACATATGCTACACAACTCTAAATTTTGTCTCCAGGTTACACCACTTCAGATTTCTGAACTCCGAGCTACACAAACTAAGACTAATCAAGACTACGAGCCAAGCATCCGAACAACAATTTATGCTACACGTCACCATAGCCTTTGCTAAGATCGCAAACGTTCGTACCCGCAAATGCAAGAAATTTTATTGTCCAGATTTCCTAACTCTAGGCTACGCAGTTCATATTTCCCAACTCTAAGCTACACAAACTCAGACTTATCAGAACTACAAGCCGAACATCAAAACAAAAATTTAAGCTACAATTCACCATAACATTTGCCAAGATTGTCCCAAAAACCATTAGAAAATATTCGCATCCAGATTTCCTAATTCTAGGCTACACAAACTAAGACCTACAAAAACTACGAGCCAAACATCAAAACAACAATTTAAGCTACAATTCACCATACCCTAGGCCAAGATTTGCCCAAAACAGCATTAGAAAACAGAAAAAATCCACAGATGAAAGAAACAGAAGAAGAAAGAGAATGAAGACTGACCACAGATGCGAATAGGAGCATTCACGCGGAGGAGATTTGGTTGGGAGAGGAAGATTTGCCTGGCGTTGACACAGAGATGGCGGATTTCAGCCTCCGAAAGCTGAACCTGTTTTCCCCCTCTCCCTTCCAATAGCCTCCTTATTATGTCATCCAAAACCCCCTTTTCCATTCCCTCCATTGTCATCATCATCCTCCTCCAATTCTTCCAAGATTCACACCAGAATATCAACTTCTCTCACCTAAAACTTGCCCTAATGCCTCAATTCCCCCTGCTCGAAGAAGGGAATTGGCTCTTCAGAGAAGGGAAAATCAGTTCTGGCTGTTCCAAGTTCAGGAGAAATCAAAAGGGCATGTTCAAAATTGGAGAAAAGTAAACACCCAACTCTTCAAAATAGGCAGAGAATCAAATCAAAGTTGATACGATGAATTCAGACAATAAAACAAGAAGAAGAAGAAGAAGAAGAAGAAGAAGAAGAAGAAGAAGCAGCAGCAGAACAAAGGGGGAAGAAAAACCCTCCCCCAACAACTTTTCAGATAGAAGAACGGGAAAGAGAAAGATGGTCAACACAGAGAAGCCAAGAAACAAACCAATTACACGTAATGATTAGAATTCACAAAATCTCGGGGAAGAAAACCAACAAGAGAGAGAAAGAGAGATTGTTATTTACAGAGAAATCTGAGAACATCAAACTCTGAAGCTGAATCCATATTTGGGGGATAAGGGATTTTCTTCCAATCTTTCGTTTCTTCTGGTTGAAATCTTCAAACGAGCGCTGACCGGTGCAGGATAGCAAAGCAGCGCACTTTAGGAGGTTTTCGAAATGGAATTGTTCTGTTCTTCTGAATTGGTTTCCATTTTTAACAATTTACAAAGTATTTCTCTTGGCAATTGATGTTCATACTAATCCCATTCTCTAAAATTAATTTGATTTTCTCTTGATTTTGGAAAGATTCAAACTGATGAAAGAATTGAACTTGGAATGGGAGATGGTCATAATTTTTGCTTCTTCCTCTTAGTCTTGTATATAAATCTTGAGATAAAAGCTTAGTTGGATTAAATTTTATAATTCTTGTTTCAAAATTTTTTGTTTTATATAATAAGACCATGATTTTTAAGTTGAAATACATCTTTGACAAAACGGGAGTTGACTTCATTTGATAATCTCATGTTATTGAATTGTTCTAAAATAATAAGTTATCAAAGTTGTTTTTACCACTACTCTAGTTACGGATTTTTGGTCACTAAATAATCTCAAAGATATTGTTTTAGAACACCAACTTTGATAGTGACGTAAATTTGTTATAGGTACTCGTTTGGGAACACATATATGAGTCCCAACTCGATCATTAGAGGGACAAAGTGAGACTAATATAATCACCTGTCATCGATTTGAAAGATAGCTCAACTCGACTCCCATATGAGAAAGGGAGTTATCCCAGTGAGAAATCTGTTGACTCCACCTTTGAGAAGGCGAATGGAACTAGCGAAAAATCTTTTAACAACAGAGGCATCAGAGTGGCAAGGCTACACTTCTCATGGAGTCTCACCTTTCTATATGTACATGCAATCTCTAAGCAACCTAACTATACTCGGTTCAACATAAGCTCAAATTAAGTATTAACTTAAACTTCAAAGTGTACATCACTGGGCACCACATCGGTGTAAGGTTCTATTAGTTAGTCATTAACTAGTCTCATTCATAGATCATTTCGACTCGCTAGCTGGCGTGACACCTTGTCCAGAATTCTACATCAATAAAAGTGATTAGGTATTTATGTCTCACCTTACGAATTGCAAATTTGAACAAAATGAAAAGATCTTCAAGATCATAATCAATGTAATAATTAAATTGTATGCATAACATATAATTGAAATTTTCATTCAAATAGAACCAAAGTTAGCTTACATTTATTTATATATATATATATATATATATATATATATATATATATATAATAGCTTCGTCCATATAACTTATATTAAAATATAAGTTTCTAAATGCTCTTTTACCTTTAAATTAAAGTTAGCTGGTTGTCGAATTAGTATATTTAAAGTTAGTTGGTCGTCGAATTAGTATGTGAAGAGAGAAGAATGTCAAAAGATAACCTTTTTTTTTTTGTATTAGATGTGATTTTTTTTAGTACACAATATACATGGACGAGTGTTCAAACACACAATTTTTTGGTCGAAAATACATATCTTATTTTTAACCAGTTGAGCTACGCTGAGATTAGTTTGGATATGATTTTTTCTCATTAGCTTGGACCACTATCACAATAAGAAACGTTGAAGACGTGGGGTAATCATACAAGACTTTTGCCACTAATTACATTAATAGTGTATTGGACCTAGTTATCATATTAGAAACTTCTCTAGTCAAGAGGGTATCAAACACAATGATAATTGTGGCAACATTGAGCCCACATCTATACTAAGGCTATACAAATTGCAAGATCCTTGGTTTGCAGGTGTATTATTTGGCTCAAGCACGTTCGGGCAATCAACTTATCTTAGCTTATTTCTATGTTAAAATAATGTGTCACTTTCAAAGTCAAAGAGTGGTCACGAGAAGTGTACTGAAGTAATTGGCTCAACCATAGTGATCATTATAAACTAGTAAATAACAAATACGTTAACTTATCTAAAAAAATAAAAATAATAAATAAACTCTTTTAATTAACTGTAATTCATAACAAAGTTTTAAAAGTAATAAAAAAATCATTGGAGAAAGTCGATTCTCATTGGAAGATTCTTTCAACACATCTTGATTCTTTGATTAAGAAATAAGATATGCACAAGATTATATTCTTCTAAGGTCAAAAGATAAGAAGCAGGGAAGAAAAGTGATATATATATATATATATATATATAAAGAAAAATAAAATAAAATAAATAGATCAATATTTTTTTTCTTTTTCTTTCTTTTCCTTTGCCAAATTGGGAAAAACCGCGTATTTTGAACAATTCCCTTTCTTTTATTTATTTTTTTGGAGTCCTTTGGAATCCCTAAGGAAAAGAGAAAATGTTGGGCTCAATCATCCAAGGCATGCCCACTAAGAAATAATGAACAAATCATAAATGCCACGTGTGCTTTGACAAATGGCTGCCACCATTTTTTTTTTCAAAATAATATTTGTTTTCCTATTTCTAGCCATCTAAATTTCTAGAAGATGTCAACTAAATTTTTTACAAGACCAAATACAAATGTTTATTTGTAACTTTTCTCAAAAATAAAAATAAAAGTAAATAATAAAGTTAGGTTAAATTATTAGTTTAGTGGATGAACTTTGATGGTTGTGTTTGTTTAATGTCTAAACTTTTTCTTAGTTCAACAATACGTGGATTGAAGATTTGAACCTTCAACCTTTGATCAAAGATATATATCTTAATAAGATGAGTTATGAGTTATGAGTTATGTTCACGTTAATTGAATATGTTTCAATTGTATCTTTGAACTTTCAATTGTAATTTCATTTATAATATGTGTTCTTATATTACTGGAAAACATGATAAAAGAAAATAAAAAAATTTATCGGTTAAGCCGCGTAATTAGTAAGAATCAACTTATAGATTAAAGTGTAAGGACGTAAGCGGTTAATTATATCCTTCTAAATGCTGCTTTAGCGTTTTTTATGATCAAATTACTTTAGTTTTAATAGTAATGTTTGAATTAACATTTCATTTTTATTTAAGAGATTAATTCTTTTCAATTCAGTAAATAAATAAATTTGTTAGGCCGATCATTTTTACCGGTCAAACCAACTAAAATAATGACTCAACTAGTTAACATCCGTTCAAATGTTTGAATTAATGTTTTAACCTAATATTTATAAATTTTTATTTTAAAAAATCAAAAATTCAAATTAAGTGAATGAGAAGGTATACCTATATACACCAATTTGCCTTCTTAATTACATGCAGTCTTCTGTCAAAA